CCTGTGGTCCCAGCTACTTGGGAGGCGGAGGCAGGAGACTCGCTTGAGCCCAGGAGTTGGAGGTTGCTATGAGCTGTGATACCACAGCACTCTACCCAGGGGGACAGCTTGAGGCTCTGTCTCAAAAAAGAAAAATTTATTTACAAAACAAACAGCAGATCAAATTTGGATAGCAGTTTTCCCTTAGTTTAACGAATATCTGAGTGGCCACAACTAGAGTTCATACAAAATCATAATATTAGTTGGCAGAAGTAGCCACACCAAGCTTAAGACTAAAAAGCCATTTGAAGCTCGGTGCCTGTTGCTCAGTGGTTAGGGAGCCAGTCACATACACTGAGGCTGGTGGGTGTGAACCTGGCCTGGGCCTACTAAACAACAGTAACAACTACAACAACAAAACAAAAATAAAAAGCTGTTTGAAAAATCTAGATTCTAAAGTTCAAGGATCATCCTTAGAAACTGCACAGGAACTGAATTCTATCTAGTGGCCACAGGCTAGTCAACTCTACTGGTCCACTTTGGACTTACCTAACAGGCTATACCGGGGGGCCAGGTATTGATGTGCTGAAGTCTGAAGCAAAGGTGCTAGGCTATGAAAGAGGTAAAATGATCCTGTCTGCTGGGCTTTTTTACATGCATCATCATCTTCCTTCAGTTCAAATAAATACCTGTAGTGGGAAATAAACCATTATAAAACTAAACCTAGTTACTTGTACAGCACTCCTCTTTGAGAATTCTGCTCCTGCATCCCTCTCCTACTGCAGTTATTTCCCTTTAACTAGCTCTATCACAATTTGCTCCCAAAAACGATCTCAGGTAGCTCTAGGAGACCATTCATTCCCTCTTTCATCCAGCTGCATCCTTTGCTCTTACTTCTACATACTCTGTGGCTGCACTGTTGTATTATTTGTTCATTTGTCTGTCTCCCCATAAGACCGTGATCTCCTTAAAGGCAGGCTCTGCCTTACTCAGCTCTGTCTCTCAGTAATTAGCATACTGAATGGCTCGATTCAATAAATATTTATTGAATTGAACTTCAAGGGTAATAAATATTTACTGAATTGAACTTCAAGGTACTCTGAGGCAAGCATGTACACGCAGTGGAGTGAAAGGAAAACAAGTACAGTGGTATAACGTCAACCACAGAATACGTAGAGATGGGAGCCGATTTTATTACTGCAGGGCAAGAGTTAACACTGTCATCTTCAGACACCCTCATCCAATCCAGGGAAGAGAAAGAACAAATTGTACTGTCCATGTACCCCTGTTTCAAACATCTAGTCCTCAGAGTGGCCACTACCAGTTCCTTGTCTCTATAGAAGGGACCACTGATGAAGCCTGTATCTATTTGACAAGGATAATATTTTCAGTAGCAAAAATTAAAATGTCCAAAAAGAAAACTTCCTATTACTGGTTTCTCAAAGAGACAGTATGTGTCAAGTTCTAGGCTTTCCTCGTACCTCCATTGAGGGTGGGCTGTATGTTCAAGAGCTGAGTCTATATGTTCAAGAGCTTTGGGAATCAAGTTGGGGGTCTCTGTGATTCTGCAGAGACAGAATGTGGTTTCTCCTGGAGAATTACTGTTAATCATTTTTGCCTGTCAAAGGCTCTAAAACAGACTCAACTATATGGCATTTCTTGTCACTGAGGTGGGGAAAATATCTTACAGATGCTTTCTGTAGGATCTGGGAACTTTTGTAACACTAGCCGGCAAAGTTGGCTCAACGTGAAAATACAAAGCAAAATGACAAATGCACCCCAGTGTAATCTGTAAAGAACCTGTTTTGATGGTATAGTAAGAGGGGTTACGATGAGCTCGTTATAAATAGAAAACAAGAGAAACCTGATCTTTTAAGACTTGTGATATTTTTAAACTTATTGTGAGTGACTGCAGCCTCCTGGGGCAAAGGCTCAATGTATGTCAAAGGAGAGACATGTGCCACTCAGAAGTTACCAAATATAAACAATAGAACAAACACAGCTGCCTTTGTAAAAGAACAGTAAGAGGTACAACCTGTGCTTTGCCCTGATGACCCTAAAAACCAAAACATCTACACAAACACGCAGGTTAAGCTCTTAAACCCAAGGCCTCACTGGAATCTGAATTGATATCCAAAAGTTCCTTACACTCCTCTTAATCAGAAACTGAATTTGAATTTTTAAAAATTCATTTTCTCCCTTTAGTTATCATAGCATGGAAATCACTTCACTAAGCTTAACAAGGCTGAACATATATTTAGGTTACTTTAAAACTGTAACTTTTTTCTTACTATAATAGTAAATAGTACAAAAAACAATTATTCTTTAATAATCAGAATATATAATTATCAATTTTTTTTTTTGAGACAAGAGCCTCAAGCTGTCCCCCTGGGTAGAGTGCCATGGCATCACAGCTCACAGCAACCTCTACCTCCTG